CTGCCTAAGTGAAGGGTCACGATACATACGAGTTGCCGTCACCCACACACGCGCCACACGCTAACAGCACCACAATGACATGAGCATCGAGTGGTTCAGTGGTTTCTGCGGTATTCTCCATTTGTTCAGCACTCGTCGCAGACACAGCACAACAAAGCAACCCAATGCGGAGCGCAGAGGTGTGAAATGGCTGCATCGGAAGTGTTTKCARTTAGCCAGGWGGAATTCCATTGAAATGCAGATATTTACATATACAATATAAACATGTCTAATATAGAGTTATCGCATGGGTCAAACTACCATTATAGAAACAAATTAAATGGAGCATGAAGCAAAATTAGTTTTTTTAATATGTAAAATTTTCGAATGTCGAATGAAGTTTAATTGTTAAAAAATATATACTGCAAGCTTTCCCTAATTAAAAATAAACTACAAAATATAAGGAAATTTTAAATTGTTTAAGCAATGAATGAGAGAGTAGCTGAGCTCAGGTAGTAAAATCTAGATATATAAATGTGACACAAAAGCAACCAGTCTAAAAACATAATGACAATAAATATTACTAGAACTTAAATGATCTTCATATCAATATACAATTTAGATTCAGTATTCCAGCTGAGCAGGAATAAGAGAGATGGCTCGTAACTTCAAGAAGATATATTGATGACAATTAAAAAAATTCTTAGGAATTTGTTTAAAATATTTTAGATTAATTAATACACAAAAGACAAAAGGCAAGAGACTTGATGCCAGTAAATAAATACAACGGAAATCTAAACTAACTTCGTGGCAATCAATATTCAATATTCACACTCAGCAAGTCAAAGAACTTTTAAGAACATATAACCTGATTCTTGCTCAACAAATGCTGTTGACGTATTCCGAGCATTAACTAATATAAAACCAATTCGTATACAAAGTGATAGTAACTAAACATTTCATGCATGAGCTATTCCGCAGGCATTGCCCCTACGAGCTGCTAGTATTAGTTACCCTAGCAAAAGCTATCCATAGCTGTTCTTCTACAACTTTCGTATATAATGTTACCATTCATTCTCTCCTACTCCCACTCTTACTTAACATATTTATGATAATTTTTGGGATTATATTTTCTAATTTCCAACACTTACAATAGCTTGAGTAAAATCTCTTCTATCGTCGTGTGAAAGAGTAAAAGAGGCTTATAAAACTGAGAACCGAAAACTTAGAACTGAAACAATGGAAAACTATTCAAAACAATTTATCTGGATTTTCTAAGTTTTCACTTATGTCTTTATCAGATTTTTATGAAACTTTTCAAGTTTAGGCAGTGGGAACTGAGAAAATCTACAAACGGCGCATTTAAAATGCATAAAATTATAATTATGCCTTGGCTGAAGNCACAATTTCAAGAGCACAGAAATCAATTTCAATGTTAATCAGTGTAATAAAAACTCAACCCACAAAGCCACAAAACAAGTTTGCCAAACATTTTCATTTCTAATTGAAACACGCACACGACTTATGCACGTAGTTGTTGTTGCTGTTGTTATTGTTGTTCCTGTTGTTGTGAATTACTTGTCACATTTTGCTGTCTGTTAACTCGTTTCGTTTCGTTTGTCGTTGTCGTCGGCGGCGACGCTGCTTATTGAAATTATGTAAATTGTTTCGCTCACCACGCAAAACGAAAGACTCAGGCAACGAACTTGCCGCGACTTCTGCTGCCACCGCTAAAGGCCTCTTCGCTTACCCATCTCAATCGCCGACTCAATGCTGCGCTGCACGTGCGTATGCAGCTGAGCGCACTTCTTAAGCTCGACATCCGCTTCCGCTGGCCGCAGCGACTTCAGCAGCGCCAACAGCTGCTCCATGCCGGCCAGAGTTTGCGCGTGGGTCTTGCTGAACTCGTCCACGGACTACAGTGGGAGAGAGAGAGGGCGCTGGTTAGCTGACAGTCGATTAGTGTTGGTCTGGCGCTTACCTTGCGCTGCTGCAGCCATAGATCATAATTGAATTGCAGCGTGCCGCCCAGCTCCTCGGGCAATTGGTGCAGCTCTATGAACTTGGCCAGCCGTGCCTTCGACAGCACCAGGGGCTGTGGGGCAGACAGACACGATTTTATTGTGCGCCTCATTTGCATTTGCATGGGTATGGGTGGCTTACCTCGCCTTTGGTCTGCGACTTGGCGCAAGGCTCCACGTGCTTCTCCCAGAAGCCCTCCGCTCTGACTAGATAAACATCGACGCTGATGTCGCCGCCAAAGAGCGCATAAATCTGGCGCACGTGCTGCCTGGATATGCGCGAGCTGATCTCCTGGGCGTTGACAACGACGCTCACCCCATTCTGCAAGACCGAAGCGCTAGAGCGAGAAGGAAACAGAGAGAGATAGTGAGAGAGGGAGAGGGAGAGAAGGGCGTGTAGATAAGTTAACAAACTATTCATAGAAATCTCGTTTAGCTGTTGATTAACTTAAGCTGGAGCTGAAGCTSTGGGCCTAATGCCAGTTGATTGATCACATCAATATCTCAGCTCATATTTAATTTGATWTCTTGTTTTTATTGTGACTCCAAAAGTTTCTCCAAGCGACTCACTCCAACAGCTGAGATACAAATTTAGATATTTTAGGGTGATCTATCTTTGACGTATCTCCCCAGTCAGCCTGCGGCAGGTCATTCGCTTTGATCAAACCACAAAAAGCTAAGAAGTTCTTAAAATGGGATTAGCATATCGGGGCGTGGAGCGCCCAGTGCAGAGAACTAATGAAAAGAGTTTGATATGAGGCCTAAATCATCTGCGGGCCATTTGCATACTTGGTCTATGCTAATTAGTGCGATTAGCTTTGAGCGGCCTGTTTCTAGTTTCACCTGAGCGGGGCAGACTCACCTGAGCGAACGCTTGAGATAGTCGAGCGTCAGTTGCAGGCAGCGGCGATTCCACAATTGTTGATCATTGAATGCATTCACAATGAATATGATTCGCCTGTCCCGATCGTAGCCGCCGCACAGATAAGCGCAGCGCATCTGCAGCGCATTCAAGACGTCCTCCTCCATGAGTCGGCCGTAAAGAACTCTTTAATTGTGAGGGCTTTCAGCTTTCAGAAAACGTCATTTCTATTAACGGGCCGACGCGTCCGTTCAAATAAATAAAGAACAACAAAAATTCAGAAACAACACAAAGAGGCAAAAACTTGTACGTATGACTATTTGTTTTTCATTGGGGCGGCCTTTTCTGCTTCGGCTTATTATTGTTGTTGTTGAAAATTAATACGAGTCACAGTTAGTGCTGTTGTTGTTGTTGCTGTTGCAGCAACTGTTGCGGCTGCTGCTGCTGCTGCTGCTGCACAATGCATTTCCAATGCCGTTGCCGTTGTGGAACACGTTTGACAAGTCGCAGACTGAAGACTGGAACTGCACACATGATTTTCACTATTTTCATGTTAGCTTAAGCGATGCCTGGGCTGCCCGTTTTGCCTGCTAGCCAGTTGTTTTTGTTTTCTTTTGCTTGCCACTAATGGAAAATACCAATTTTCCACATACCCTGCACATTTTTAAATGCCGCCGCAAGAATTTCAGTTGACTTGAGCTGAGGTTGGCTAAGGAATCTGCATATGCTTGACTTGAAAGGCGAGCTATCTTTAAGCAGTATTTCAGCCATATATATACCTCCTGATTCCACATGCATATATATGTAGTTAGGGTATATACCTAATACTCTCGTTCTGCTCAACTGAAACCAAATTTGATTCATTTTACCTCTCGTTTCTCTCACTTCACTACTCTTACAGGGTATCTGCTTATCTCGCGCACTCTTGTTTAAAGCATTGCCATTTGCGTTTTTCTCTTCTTTTTTTTTTTTTTTGAAAATTACTTGACACAAATTGTAGTCAACGGGCAGGCCGCTAAACTTTTTCTATGCCAGGCCGAACGGCAGCTGCAGTTTTGGCTTAATTTGTTGCTGACTGATAAGAGGCGTGGCACACACTCACAGCCCACACACACACAGAGACACACATCTACACTCCCATAATCTTTCACTTGTGCAGAAATCCTGTTTTCTGTTTGGCCAGCTCGTTGTCTATCTTACAGTTATGCGTTAAGTGAGTCTAAAACTTGCTCCGTTTTATGGCCAAGAATGTTCAATGCGGCCCGTGGGCAATTTGCACCAGTTGCCAACCTGTTGCCAGCAATATAATTGTCAAGACTTTTGAGCCAACTAGCGGTTATGGCTCGCTGCTTCTTCCGCATCGAATTACAATTAACAACAACAACGACGACGAAAATTGCAGCAGCAGCAGCAGCAGCAGCGAAGGCAACAACTTCGACATCAACTTCCAGCAGCAACATGAATTTCAAGTTTCAAATGTCAGATTCAAATTGAATAATTTTGCAGGGGCAAAAAGTAGCAACGCGGCAAAAATTTATAAAGAAAAAAACAAAATACTCAAAAATAAAGAAGTAATTTAGAAAGAGCCAGACAGACAGACAGAGAGGGGCAGAGAGAGGGACAGTGAGAGACGCAGTTAGGTAGGCCCTGCTGGGCATTTAATGCCCCGCTTTTGTTTGGGGCACACCTTAGCAGGCGGTTTTCAGGCCTTGCGGCAAGTTAAATATGCTACTAAAATAGACAGGAGAGAAAAAAAAAACAAACAAACCAAAAAAAAAAAACAAATGAGAAACCGTTTTGTGGCGCTTTTCTGTAACTTTCTTAAGAACTCTTTTACTTTGCTTTTATGATACGGCGATAAGATCTATGCGGGCCAAGCGAAAATGAGCGACGTCTCTGTTCGAGCTGTTAAATTAATTGAAAAGTTCAACTGGCAGCAGCAGCAGCAACAACAACAGCAACAACAGCAACACGAAACCCATTAGCATTTCGACCAAAAAATTTGTTTTAACAGCTGACAAATGTTTTTTGTTCTGTTTGGTTTGGTTTTTTTTCGGCTTTTGGCTTTTGGCTTCATTACAATTTTGGTGTAATTAATTATTTAGATTTTGCCTTGGCTTTTGGACTTTTTATGCGGCACTCAAATTGTAATTTGACATTAAATTCCAGTTCAGCGCTTTTTGCGGCACAGTTCGAGTTATTGACTTTCAAAATTGCACTTGCTCCGTCGCTGGACGGTAAACCCGTAATAAAGCCCGTGCCCCCGCGCCCACAGTCGTACCCGTAACAGATCTCTCTCGCTCGCTGGAGTCGTCTGCGTGCGCCGGCCAACAGCTCGCGCGCTCAACTGAAAGTTCGCTTCGTCGCTTCGTAGGTTGCTTGGCGCCTGCGCCGCGCGCTTTGCAACCCGGTTTGAGTTTGAGTTTGAGTTGCAAGCGATTTGCTGGACGTTGTGTGGCTGCTGACTGTTGGCCCGAGGGCGTTGCGTGTCGGCTCAGCTGTTTTTCACTTGCCCCTCGCTTGCATATCAATTGGATAGTTGCTGCTGCGATTGCCCTTTTTCTTTTCTCAGTGTTTTGCTTTTATTTTTATTGTCTGCCTGCACATAAAAACCTGTTCGCAGGTGAGTCGAAGCTGAGGTTTCTTCGCTGTCTGCTAAATTAAAAGCAAAACATGCGTTTTGTCTGCTGCAGTTGTTATCGAAGTGTGTGCAGTTGCTGAACTTTACTTGAGGAGGATAGATTAGCTATGAAGCTGGCTTAGAAAAGGCACTGAGAAGATCTGCTGAAAGCATTTTAAAGGGAAGTCAACCAAAACCCTTTATTTATATAATTATATGTTTTATAATCATCTCATATAAACATAATTTTTGTTAGCATTATAGAAAATATTCCAAGACACTTAGATCATCTCCAATCATAAATACTACTACTGCTACTACTATTACTTCTACTTCTACTACTGCTACAACTATTACTTATACTTCTACTACTGCTACAACTATAACTTATACTTCTACTACTGCTACTACTATTACATTTACTACTATTACTACTACTATTACTTATGCTTCCACTACTACTATTACTGCTACTATTTCTACTACTAATACTATTATTACTGCTACTATTTCTACTACTAATACTATTATTACTGCTACTATTTCTAC